TCACGTCACCACCACTAAGCTAAAGGTGACTAATGTTGGGCTAAAGGAACTACAGCACGGTCACATGACTTCACGTCACCACCGCTAAGCTAAAGGCGGCTAATGTTGGGCTATAAAGGAACTACAGCACGGTCACATGACTTCACGTCACCACCGCTAAGCTAAAGGAGGCTAATGTTGGGCTATAAAGGAACTACAGCACGGTCACATGACTTCACGTCACCACCGCTAAGCTAAAGGTGACTAATGTTGGGCTATAAAGGAACTACAGCACGGTCACATGACTTCACGTCACCACCGCTAAGCTAAAGGAGGCTAATGTTGGGCTATAAAGGAACTACAGCACGGTCACATGACTTCACGTCACCACCGCTAAGCTAAAGGAGGCTAATGTTGGGCTATAAAGGAACTACAGCACGGTCACATGACTTCACGTCACCACCGCTAAGCTAAAGGTGGCTAATGTTGGGCTATAAAGGAACTACAGCACGGTCACATGACTTCACGTCACCACCGCTAAGCTAAAGGAGGCTAATGTTGGGCTATAAAGGAACTACAGCACGGTCACATGACTTCACGTCACCACCGCTAAGCTAAAGGAGGCTAATGTTGGGCTATAAAGGAACTACAGCAGTTAACATCTCTTCAGCTTGTGTTTACCACAAACCTTATTTCAGGCTAACAACCAAAGACACATTCGAAAAACCAATGACTCTGAAACAAGCAAACCTAAAGTGGTAAAATGCTGACTCATTTCCAGGTTTTAAGACTCATTCCTGCACCCATCTTCAAGCAGTATATTTCTGTACCTTTGATGTCCCTTCCGAAGCCCATGGACGAGGTGACCGCCTGGCTCTTGTTGTTGCTTTTCTCTTTGAGGACGTCGTCGTCGCTGGACAGGCTGTCCATGCTCATCTTTTTCCTCCTCTTCTTCTTCTTGTGTCGGGGGGGCAGCTTCTTGGGGAAGGTGAACATTGGGAAGATGACCAGCGTCATGGCAACGGCACACAGCAGGAACCCACTCCACCTAAGGGAGGATAGAATCATTCAAAAGACTCAAAACACAGACCTTGACAGACGGAGGAGACACTTTTAACCTTATCTAAGTCTGAACTAGGGCTGCACAATGTACAATAATCAAATCACAGGAATCACAATATGTAATAAAGGCTAAAGTATTGTGCAACTGCAGACATATCCCTGCCTTTAAAGGGTAATCTACAGACTTTAAAAATTACTTCAGTACGTATAATTCATGTGAGAAGCCCAAAGGCTGTTAGCTGCTGAGTCACTGGTTGTTCTGTCAGTAAGAAAATGGCATCACTTCGAGCTGTAAATGGATGACTAGCTGCAACAGCAACAGTACTATGAACTAAAGAGGATATTAGGTATTTAAAGTTATGCATTGGTTTGGGAACGAGTTCAAATCTCTGCACGACCAACACAAATATATATAGCATGATGGCAGCAACTTTGACACCTGTTGCTTAATGCATGTTGTGCATGTGTGTATTTCAAAAAGTGAACACCAGAAGGAAAACTGTATTATTATTATTACACATTACTTCGAGCTGTAAATGGATGACTAACTGCAACAGCAACAGATTTAAAGAAAGATATAGAAAACATGTACAAAAACACCATGAAATAAGGAGCGTATTAGGTATTTAAAGTTATGCATTGGATGGGAACAAGTTCAGGTCTCTGCACGACCCAAAAAATAAATATATATATGATGGCAGCACCTTCATTTTGACACCCGTTTCTTAATGCATGTTGTGCATGTGTGTATTTCAAATATGTAACACTAGAGGGAAAACATTCATCTGTTTCCAACTTATATATCAATATTCCAATTACTTGTATATAGACTATTCTGCACTATTTCTATTACATTCTATTTTATTGTATTTACTTGCACTATTATCTGTTTTATTGTGTTGCACTGTTGGAGGAGTCTGTGACCTAAGATTTTCATTGATACATCTACACTGTAGCTATGAACACATGACAATACAAGCCTTGAATCTTGAAATCTTGAATCTTGTATGAATAGATATTACACTCCAACCAGCCCAAAGCAGTTCTCACCAGTTCCCGATGAAGCGGGGGTCGCTCTGATCGATGGTGACGGCAGTTTTTGGGTCAACGTAGTATCCGATGAGGACTCCTCCCAGTAGGTACCCAGCTGCTGGACCCAGCGCTCCCATCACATACATGATGGCTGACGAGAGAAGAGAGATAAGGAGAGTCAAACTTTGGCAGTTGCATTAGGTAAACAAGCGCCTTCCTCCACATCCAGCAGACACCCATAACCTTTATGTTTATATCCACATGGTGAATGTATTTGAGAATATATTTGGCTCTTTAGCTGCCAAATGTTTATTTTCTTCACCAGTTAGTGTCCAAATGTTTCTGTCTACTGTTTGCTGGTGGAAACAAAAAGGTAAATGTCCCATAAAACCAAGACTACAAGCTAAAAAACCTCCATTAATATGTATAATTGGTGATGTTTTACTTTTAGTTAACAATGAAAGGTAGGGTAGGTAATTCACTTCAGAAACACTTTTTGTTATATTGCATTAATTCATATTTGTCATACTTGATTAACTCTCTGTAATGTGAAAGGCTCCTTAAAGGTAGGGTAGGTAAGAATGAAGAAACCAGCTCGAGTGCGCTAGATTTTGAAAGTACGCAGCCGAAAAAAATCTGCCCCTTCGTTCAGACTTCCTTCCAGAGCCCCTCCTCCAACACACACGAACGCGCACATGACCAATGAGGGCACGAGATAAGTTTGTGCACAGATGGAAGGCTGACAGGCAGGTAGGCCATCCAGTTATTTTAGCCGGGCCGGCTCAGATGATTGGTCGTGCTTTTTACAGTATTACGGCTTCCACAGATGATATTTTTTTATGTATTTATTGTCAAAGCATTTAATTTATTCATTGCTATCGGGATGTTAAGAGCATTCCATGCAGTTTAACTTAGCTTAAAGCGTTAAAACCATCAATTGCCTTCTTCCACATCCTGCAGACACCGAGCAACTGTTTAATTTAACTGGAGTTATGTTTCTATAAAGTGGTTTAGTCTCCATCAACTCATCCATCATACATCTGGCTCTTTAACCGTATAATGGTGTGAGTTATGCTACTGAGCAGGTAGAGCTATACAGAGGTAAATGTGGCATACAGTGAGACCAAAACTACAAGCTAAAAGCGGCTAAAAAACCCTCCATTAAGCTGCAAAGTTGTCTTTAACTCAAAATAACACCAGCAATGACCTTCTTCCACATCGACGCATCCATCAAATATTTGGCTCTTTAGCCGCTAAATGCTTTTACTGTGAACTGGAATATAAAAAGGTACCTTTCACGATACAGAGAGACTTATTTAAACGTTAATACAGAATCAAAAATATGTAAAAACTGTGGTTTGAATTAGATGAAAGCAACGAGACAAAGATCAAAAACCTGTGTCTTATACTTGGAAACAGACAGGTGAAAAAATCTCAAAAATACGTGCCACTTCGGGAGCGAAAGCAGACTTTTCTACAGTTTCTTGTACATTCTTTATTTTCAGCTGAATAGTAAAAAATAATCCATGTCAAAGTTGTTCAATTACCCAAACTCAGCGTCTAACTTGAACCCTTATGTAACTGTTCAAATCAACTTAATATAGCTTTGGGAGTGGGGTACAAAAGGCTGTGTGTGTGTGAGTGAGTGAGTGAGTGAGTGTGTGTGTGTGTGTGTGTCATGTGTGTGTGTCATGTGTGTGTGGATCATATGACCCTGTAATAAGGGGCTCCGAGCTGAGGATAAGATTTCTCCAATTAGAGGGAATTAACATCTTAAGGTCTCTTATGGCCGGAGTTGAAAGCAAAAACTCGAACAATCCGGTGGCGTGACACAAAAACTCAAAGCTGGGCCAGGCACTGGAGTCCTGGGAAAACACTGGGAGCACATCAGTAGTATTTTCACAAACGCCTCGTGGAGGATTTATAGTACACCAATATCGAGATTTTCAAAATAAAATGACAGCTTGGAAGTCACAGTGGGGGACTACATTTAAAATCTAATCTTCTTACTTTTTAAATTAACCGACCAAACTTCATTTTGTGAAAGAACTGATATAACTGTGTCACAAGTCAATGGAGCAAAGGTCAAAATCAATGACATAACATACGTAGCATTGTTCTCTACAAGTCATATTCTAAATGTACATTGTAAAATATACAAGGTAACAAAGCTCCCAAACAATAGATGTCTGTCTTTGGTTGATGCTTGACATTTTTACCAATGATTTTACCAAGTTATGATGGTTTGTTTTTGCTCTCTATGAACGTGTTATTGTTTCAAGGTTCAAGGCTTTTATTTGTCATATGTACATAGCTACAGTGTAGTTATGTCGATGTAAATCTTAGGCTTAGTTTTGCATTAGATAATTCAGTGGTTTCTGCTTTCTTTTTTAATGCCATTTTATAATGTGTTTCTGCTGCTATTATTTCTCAATGCCCTTAATGTCTTTCATTATATTAAAGCACTTTAAAAGGTTGAAAGGTGCTACATAATAAACTTGCCTTGCCTTTGAGATCTGACCAAAAGTAAAATTGAGTTCTGAGATTAAAGTCAGGTCTAAAATAAATATTTTAACTTTTTCTCCGAATTCTGAGAATTTTCACAAAAATATTTAATGATTTTTTTTCTCATAATTCTGACTTTTTCTCAGAACTAAAAAATGTTTTATCACATGTGGTCCTAATCCTCTTCCGTACATCTCGAACGTTTGATTTCAAAATATTCTATAATTGAAACTTTATAGAAGGTAGTGTGGAACAAAAACATATTTAGCCTGTCAACAACATGCCTATAAACATGGCTGGATAACAGCAATATATATTTTTTTTAATTCTGACGACACTTTAATAAGTACATGTTCCTATATTGATACACATAGAGCAAATTAATGTATTATAGTGGCAGACATTGTAACTGTTTTTAATCTGTTTTGAATCACAAGATGTTGGGAATCATTAACTCAAGCAGTGCTTCTTCACTGAATTCCCCCCCCCCACGAAACTGATATTTATTTTGGTACTTAAGTATATTTTTAATGCCGATACTTGAACTTAAGTACGATTTTGAATGCAGGACTTTTTCTTGTAACAGAATATTTTTTTAAAGTCATATTTCTACTTTATCTTTAGTACAATATTGGAGTTCTTCTTCTCTTCCTAATGCATGAAACACTAATCAATATGTTAAACTGATGCAGAGATATTCTCCTCTCCCCATTAGACGGTTACATCATCCGACGAGGAAAAGCCGGGGTGATAAAGCATCGGATGGGATTGAGGGCTTGGGCTTTCCACGGAGACCCAGCGGCATCCTGGGTAATCCCTTATCTAACAACAGAGGAGGGAACGCCGTATTACGCAACGGGATGCAAACCATCAGCACGGGGATAAAAGACGAGAGGCTGGAAAACAGCTTCAATAAAAAAAAAAAAAAGGGACGGCAAAGCGTGAGATGTGGAGATAAATACTGTCACAATATGCATTTTACCTCGTCTATGCACTTTCTGGTTGGATGCAAACTGCATATCGTTTTGTGTCAATAAAGTTTAATCTAATCTGATCTGAAGATGGATATAATGTGGTAAGACAAACAGTCAACAGTGTTGGTGAAAATATGATGTACATATCAAGAAGATAACTGTACTTTAAATGTATTTATATATCATGTGCTGCATTTTGTTCCACTGTAGAGTATTTAAATATCTTAAACTGTTTTATTTATATTTCTTCTTGCATGATTATTATGTCTTTGTTAAGTATATTGCATCGTTACAGGACACTGAGGTTTTCAGATGTTTAATGCCAAAACTTGTATTTCTGTTGAGCACATAAAGTCTTTGCATCTTGACTTACAAAACATTTTAAACACGATACCCAGACCCAGTTTTAAGCAAATCATGGCCGAATGAAATGGGAGTCAGAGTTGGTTTTCATCATCCTTCTTAATGCTTAATGTATTCAAGATAATAGGACAAGTTTACATAATTAAAAAGCCACAGATCACAGTTACATCCCAGCATTTCAGAGCTGCTTCCCACTCAAAGCAGACATTAAAACATCTCTTTGGACCTTTAGAGATTTTAGGTTAAAATTGACTTTTTCTATCCATTGTTTCCTGTGGATAAGAAGCATGCATGAGTATGGTTCAGACACACATTTGTGGTTATGGTCTTTTTTATGTTTTCTGTTTAAAACAATCCTACTAACAGATGGTTGGATCAACACATTGCATTGTAAGGATTTAAAATGTGTATGCATTGGTTTTCTCTTTGTGACCTTACCCATAAAACCCTTTTTCTCTACACAGAGATGTTTAAATCCAGCTTTCAGTGGCAGGTTTTCTCAGTGTTTTGCTTCACATATTTCCATTTCTGGCTCACATACTGTTCAGGTTTCCAGGAAACGGAGCCTAACATTGGACGGTGGGACTGTACAGGCCTGAGGCTGTGTAGTGTTGGGTTTACTGGACAGAGATGTGCAGGAATCAAAGTCATGCTTGCTTTCAGTAAACACGCTGAAATTATGAGGTTAAAAATGTTGTTTCCCTCAACGGATACCTGGGTCACTGTCCTCCATCTTTTAGCTTCTTCCCCCTCGTTCACTATAATACTTATATCTCTTTGCTTTCCATTCTAGTACCTACTTGTTTTTTACGTTCTCGTTCTGTCTTCATTTATCTTTTTAGTCTCACTTGGGACTATATCTCTTTGCTTTTTATTCTTTGTACTCTTATCTACCGTCTTTCTCTTGTTCTTTTCACAGTCTGTCTTATCTAGGAATGTTTCCATGCACCTGTTAGGGTTAGGGTTTGTAATGTGCATTTCCAGTGCCTATAACCCTGAATCGATAGCAGAAATTGAATACATTTGCTATTTACAAATGTTGACGAAAGAGAAAAATAAATGTGTGTCCGACCAGTTAATCAAGATTTAAAGGGTTCTTCTTTGGCCCATACATATATAATCCTTACTTTCTCGTTCTGGCTTCATTTATCTTTTAAGTCTCACTTTACATCTCGTTGCTTCTGATTCTATGTACTTTTGTACTTTGTATTGTCTTTCTCTTTTTACTTTCAATCTTGTCTTGGTATGTTTCCATGCACCTTAGGGTTAGGGTTTGTAATGTGCATTTTCATTGCATAAAAACCTTGAT